CAGCTGTCAACATTTCGTACTGTCTCTTCAGTGCCAACACAATAACATGAAAATATATAAGACCAAAGGTAGGGTGAGACCGGAACAAGTTAGAACAGAGTAGAGGGGCAAGCGTGACACCCCTACGCCCAGGGCAGCCGTAGGCTTACGAACAACTGTTTCTTCATACAGAGTGCGGGTTTGATACGGCTGCTCGCGACTGCCTCTACAAAACGTAGGAAACAGGTGTTAGCCTGTCTTAACACGATTGTAAACATTGTGGCCGGATCAAACTGGTGACAGGTGGCAAGTAAATGCCTACCTATGGATGAAGCAGGTGGTTTACGTGAACTGGTGGTATGAGCAACCGAGGACTGGGTGATTTGACACTGCAACCATTTAGGTACATGTTCCCTTATTCTGGAATTCAACGCTCGATTGGTACGGCCGATGTAGTGTATACCACAACTACAAGTAAATTGGTAAATGCAATGTGAGTTGGCGCCAATAGTTTGTCTTTCGGTCATTGGGGTAACAGGTATTCGATTAGTCCGGTTGATAATGACAGTTTCTGCAGCATAATAAGTCCTCCGGACTGCGGAAATTATGCTATACTATTGACAAAGTCATGGTGATCACGTTCACGGGACACCGTTTAGGTGTGGAGTTGATTCCAGGTGAACGACCACATCACTTGAAATATGCTGACGATATTGCCCACATTTATGTCAGATCGCAAACGTGCCAAGTGACACTGGACAGATTTGTACTGGCTTGCAAACACATCGGGCCGTACCTGCAAACATCTCCTCGGAGATTGGCCTGGACAGCCTCCTGCGCTACCCTATGGTGGGGATTATATATATATATATATATATATATATATATATATATATATATATATATATATATGTCGACATCCGGTTTCGGATATGCCTGTCACTGTGGCAAGCCACAGGACGCCTGCGCCTACAGAGGGACCATGGGTGGTTTGCGCTGCACCACCCACAGCTCCAACCACACACCCCATATCCAGTGTAAACCCGAAGGAATAAGACCGGGAGGCATGTGGATGGGAACCACGTTTCATCAACGGAGCCGGCCCACACTCCTTCACAGGCAAACACAAGCACGCTGTATTTGGGGAATCAAGCGCACACAAGGCGGTGGCTGGACCGTAGTCCGCTCCACACTGACTGCATGGAACCACTCTTCGAGCCTAGCACGACCACAAGGACCGTGCACCCCGTCCCCTCCAGTAACGACCAACTATCTCCTGGAGCCAGTATGGACGAGGTAGTGGGTACTAGACAGGTAGGCACCTTGTCAACACGCCCATCAAGCGCAGCCACACCGTGGACATCAAGCAGCAGCCAATCACTTGAAAGAAACATAACATGTAGAATGAATCGAGTAAATCATAAGAAAATAGTGACATTAACCTAATATTAATGAGCACATGAAGTTAGATGTTTACAAGCGAATCTCAAAATAGTTCACGAGGTCAGAAATTTTTACTCTACTGAAATTTCGCATTCAAGAAAATGTTATCGAAATTAACTACAATTGGCTTAAGCGAGGTGTACGAGTTAACGGAAAATAGTACTGGTAGACATGTATATGAGGAAGGGAAGCATAAGGGAAAATTGAAAACCCACCACTTGAAATAAAGAGACTTGGCATGCAAACACGCGGTTAGTAAATCGAATGCAGCTTACCTACAAACGCTGCGCTGGTTCTGCCTACGTTCTCTGCAGAACCCGTCGTCGCTTCGGTAGTGGTCCCGAGTGACCTCGCTCATGGCTCACTACGCCTGCCTGACTAAGGCACTCGCGACCGCATGTTCTACAGCACCCTGCGCTCGATGTCGATGGAGTACAATTCATTGGTGCTTGCCGCTTCCGCACTTGCCGCTTCTTCTCCCGCACTTCAGCAACTGCCTTCGTGATGAGATCGCGCCATACGCGCCGATCAACCGCTTTCGATTCCCATGACCTGCAATCAAGATTAGAACGTGTGAGGCTCACTTTGATCATGTCCTCGTAACGTGACGTTGGTTTCCCAGCATGCCGCTTCCCAATACTCAGCTGACCGTATAAGAGTTGTTTCGGTATCCGCGTCGAATCCATACGGCTCACATGACCGATCCACCTCAGGTGTCTCAATAAATGTATGCAGTCCACTGCATACATTTCACTTCGGCGCAAAACTTCAGTGTCTGCAACTCTGTCGCCCCAACCGATGCGCAGAATTCGTCGCAGACACTGCTGATGGAACCGCTCGAGATATTGCACATCCCGACGGTACATCGTCCATGTCTCACTGCCGTATAGAAGAACGGACAGCACCATGGATTTGTATACCATCAGCTTCGTGCCAATGGTAAGCTGATGGTTGTTCCACACTCGGTACTCTAGCTTCCCGAATGCCGCCGCTGCCTTCGACACGTGAATACGTAGCTCGACGTTTAGCTGCTGGTCAGTCGACATCACACTCCCAAGGTAGCTGAAACGGGAGGTGATTTCAAATACTTCGGCACCAATGCTGATTCGCGGCAATATTGAAGATTGCACCTCCGGTGAAGGCTGAAAGAGACAGACAGTTTTGCTTGTGTGGATGGTGAGCGCGAATATGGCCGCTGTCGAAGCCAGAGCACTAGTCATGTGCTGCAACTCATCCGCGCTGTGTGAAAACAACGCACAGTCGTCAGCAACCAGCAACATACGGATAGTTGTCTCACAGACTAGAGTTCTCGCACCGAAACGACGGATGTTCAGCAACCCACCATCAATACGGTGCTCCACACGAACACCGTAAGCACAAGCCGCATTAAAAGCACAAGACAACATCGCATGAAGATATATATTAAACAGGGCAGGAGCTAAGACACAGCCTTGCTTCACACCAGAGACAACTGCAAAGTCATCCGAGGTCTCTCCACTCAGCTGCACCCTCGCTCGCATATCACTGTGCAGACATTCAATTAAACTTAAAAACTTACGCGGGCAACCAAACTTACCCAACACCATCCACAATGCCTCGCGGTTCATCGTAACAAATGCCTTGGTGAAATTAACAATCAGCCAATACAATGGCTGGTGTCGGTCTTTGCACTTCTCTTGCAACTGACGAGCCGCAAACACCATATCTATAGTGCTGCGACCCGAACGGAATCCACACTGCTCCTCCGCCACTTTAGGTTCCACAACCTGACTGACGAGGCGGTTGAGTAGGATTCGGGCAATCACTTTGCCCACACAACTCAGCAAGTTGATGCCACGGTAATTCGTGCAACATTGCTTGCTACCTTTGCCCTTGTACAGTAGTAGCACAAGGGCATCCTTCAACTCAGAATGCACTTGCTCCTCAATCCATACGCGTTGCACCAAGTGGTGCAGCGCAGTCAACAACGCGGGTCCGCCGTGTTTCAACACTTCAGGCGGGAATCCGTCGGCCCCAGCACACTTGCCGTTTCGCAGCTGAGCAAGTGCTCTCTGCGACTCATCCAGTGACGGTGTGTTCGCCAGATTCGCCTTCACATCGTGCTGCTTCAGGCCGCTCAATGTAGGCCAGTCGATCTCTGAACGGTTGTTAAAATACAGTTGAAATTTTCCGCCAGATCTGCATTATGTCTGCATTCTGTGTGCAGGTATCACCTGATCTACCATCGATCAGTGTCCTCAGCGGCTCCAATCCCGGTCCATACACCGCCTTCAAGGAGTCAAAGAATTTCTTGTGTTGGCGGCGTTCGGCGTAGCATTCCATTTGCTTCGCCTTCTCCATCCACCATGCATTTTTTATGCGACGGAGCTCTCGGGTCAGTCGCCGTCGAAGTTTGGAAACTGACTATTCTTCCCCAAGTCACTGGGGTCTGCCACATGTGCAGCAAATACTGCATTCTTCTCCGACACCAACGCGCCAATCGTCGCATTGTTCTCATCAAACCAATCAGGCCGCTTACAGTTTGCTCACCCGATGGTCTCCTCGACTGCAGCTGTCACCTGGTCGCAAATGTGGTGCCGCAGGTCGCCCACTGTGGCTATGCAGTCCACATCACACAGGCGTGCAGCTATTGCCTTCTCCAGCGTAGTATGTTTCGCCACAGTACCGAGGGACAGTATGTTACATTTACGGCGGTTCACCGCGGGAATATATATATATATATATATATATATATATATATATAACTATTTGTATATAAATAAGAAGTATCGGGTTGTCGGTTGCCTCTGAGCATTTTAAACAGATTGAAACTAACGGCCAGCGGTTTTCTTTATGTGGGTGTGCTGGCTAACTTGAAACTTATTGCAATGAATATCTCTATAAATTACACCTTTTTGTTTAACTTCTTCCATGCGCTGCTATGACGCCTTCCAGTCCATTCATGTAGTCTATTAACCATACGACAATAAAATCCATTGGTGCTTGCGAGTTTACCATGTTGCAACACACTCCACGTGTGCTTACCAGGTTATGGGGGACAATTTTCAGTGTCTTAAGCGTAAGTGGTTTTGTTGTCCTCTAAATCAGTCAAATAATCATCAACATCCGGACGAATGATGGTATCTTCATATTTTCACAGAATCGGTCGAAATTTGAACTCATAAACGTCTAACTAGTCGTCAAAGGATTATTCCATCGGACTATCGGGAATGTCCGTTAAAATGGCTGGATCTCTAAATATGAAACAATGCATCCCACTGCGAACATGTGCGTTGCTGCCGAGCCTCAATAATGAGAAACAATTGTCCAACGTTTTTCCGGAAGTGTCGTGGTTGAACGACTGAAATCCCTTTCGTCAATGTTTCTGGATCAGTAATAAGCTTATCCCACAAGTTTCCATTGCATCCAGCTATTATTAGTACGTCTCCCTTTAGAGCATTCTGAATCAACTTCTAATCTGTCTTTACTTACAAGGGTCACAAGCATACCATGAGCATCCGGCTGGCGTCTAATCGACCAGACAGTGTCAAATCGATTAAGCCGTTTGAACTACATCACGTCTGCACACCTGGGAGGAAATGCCTTCTCCAAAATCCAAGGGATCCCCTAAGAGCAAGCGATCACCAGAAAAATCACCCAAAGGTACTAAGGCTCCGAAACCAAATGATGAAGAGGCCGAAAAGCCATTTATCTTTGTTCCTCCGCCACGACCTCCTACACCACCAAATCCTCCAAAAGGCCCAGTCTTGTCAAGACTGCGCAGGCAGGTCTGGTATCCGTATGCTAACCGGATGAGTTTTGAACGTAAAGAATGGTTTTGGTCACCTTATTGTCCTGTTATTACTAGCTGGGGTGATGTGTGGGTGACAGATCCACCCCAGAGAAGAATACTCCGGTACTACTTTGACCCGGTCAGTGCTAGGATTTCTGCATGTTCACCCAACGTGACAGTACGGGGAGAGCCACGAATGATGATAGAGGTGCCGAAGACAGGCAGGATGGCTGTGCTTGTCACGTGTCCAAAGGCAAAGAAAACCACACTGACGTTGTACGATCCGGTGGAAGTGAAAGAAGAAAAGAGAATTGACTTCAGTTACGAAACTATCCCACCTCCACCACCACCCACTGCGCGCCCAGCAGACGAAGCCGATCGGTATTTATTTTCACTGGAAGATGATTCAAGTCCCGTTGGCTTATGTGCCAATGAAGACATTCTCTTCGTTCTCTTCCAACCAATGCAACGACTCAGGTTGTACGACCCAGTCTACTTGAAGCCAATCGAAGTGAGGCTCGAAAATGCATACCCAGATGAGAGTACATGCATTCACTTGGCCTCCTCAGGTGGGTGTTGTGCCAGTAGCGAAAAATTATTCGTCGCTGCTACCCGACCTCCACGAGTGCAAGTATTTTGGATCTGTCGCCAAACCCTACTCTCTAGGCTGGACCGTGTTGATTTGACTTGGTATGCCGAGTTGGGACTAGATCGTTTGTCAATAGGAGAGCCATTCGGAGTGCAAGTCGATTCGCTTGGGATGCTCGTCGTTTCGGACTCGCGTAGTGGATACCTTCGAGTATATAGTACTGGAGACCAACGCCCACCTGGACCGTGGCAACCATCTCTTCCCCACGGTGAAACATGTTACTTTGGGAGTTGGAAAATTGATGCATATCAGCCTGTTCGTCCTGGTCACTTTAGTTTGGGCAAAAACGGCACTGCATGTGTGGTTGATCGTTGGGCCAACAAAATCCATTTGATATGTGATCGCACGGAATTACGCTGGTATGACGAAACGCTACTGGCACTGGATGACGCACTTTTTGTGCGTCCAGTGGTCGATCCTCTGATGCCAATGAACGGCCTTCCACCGGCACCTGTACTCGACCCGTTTGTGGCTGGTGACTATCGCAGAGCAGCTAGCGAAATGTCCATTGTGGTTCCTGATGATGTGTTGTTGCCGCAGTGGCTGGTGGAAAGATATCAAAAAATGGAGACACCAGTTCAGGCCGTTTCTCCAAAATCCTCCCCCAACAAAGCAAAAAGTTCACCGAAAGGAAAAAGTTCACCGAAAGGAAAAAGTCCCAAATCGAAGTCATCCAAGTCAAATTCCGGCAAGAGTAAAAAAAGCTAGTGGGGACCTGATTTCAAAATTCGTGAGGATTTCACTGCAGGTGTTCTGCTTCGTTCTTCCTACCTTCCGGATTTGCTCCGGCTTTTACGAGAATGTATTTCTTTTTACGCTGACTGTGAAGCGAACTTCAATTATTCGCTGGCCTTTCATGGCGCCATTTGTCTTCACTATTCATTGCGCGATCGTGAGGATCCTAATTATGTTATTTGTTTTCAGTGACCTTACGATTAGCTGTTAGCATGTACATCGCAAGATGCACTCTCTCACTGCTTAGAATGACCCTATGCGACCACGTAAATCAGGCACTAGGTCCCACAGCCCCTGATTCTTTCCGTTGGATCCCTGTGTCTGAAGGGTCCTTCCTTTATGTATTGACGGACGAGCACCAGACAATGGCCATCAGATTGACCAGATGAGACTAATCGATAAGACTGAGTAATTGGGTCTTACGTACATCCATTCATCACTTTCAAAGGAGGGTCACATCTTGTTTAGCTGAACAAGCGAAACGATTTATGACGGCTAAAAAGCATCGTCTTAACATGTCCCGTAGTTTGGTAATGGAAGGAATCACAAATTCAAAGACTACACAAGTGGGCTTATTAAACGGCATCGGAGAAGCGACAGGGCAGCGCCATTTCAGTGTTGAGGTTGTAGAAATGAAACAACGCCATGGAAAAAGGAGTGACAAGATGATTAATGCTCAATAGTAAGAATTATAGGATTACAGGTAGATATTCGTCACATATAGACTCACTCAGACAGCCGTCACACGCACGGAAAAGCACTGTACATACGTTTCATCCTTTCGGGAATCGTCAGCAGTGCGCATTCCACCAGACCCTGGTAGGGCTCGAACCCGCAACTCGACTGTTGCCAGTCCGTGGTTGAGACCACTGAGCTACGGAGGACGGCAACGGCCATCATGACTGTTACTAGATGTGATATAGCGCCGTTCACTATCCACTGACTTACACGTTACTGCCGCGCAGAGGACAGGGTAGCCCTCTCACCAATTATCGGATTGCTAGTCGACCTTCACTGAATTACGTGCTGCATTGGGGTAACCGGTCGGTGACCGAGTGGTCTCCATGTCTGGCTTGCAAACATAAAGTCACCGGTTCGAAGCAGCTTAGGGGTGGACGTTCTGGCTGTACCTAACCCACTCGCAATTAGTGGTGGTCACGCTGCACTGAAGCACCGTTGCGGCGTACAGCTGGCACAATATTCGTTACTTTCCTATCCTTTCAACTGAAAAGTCTACAGTACTGAGAGCGAAAATGGGTAAAGGGGGCGCAGTCAGTTAAGTTTGGAACATCATTCCATCATTTGATGGATAAGTAAATTCAAGTTCGTTCAAGTGGGACCGGAACAGTAGGAGAATTTCGTGATTGTTCCACCTTGTACAGTATTGTTGATCCCAGAGTAAAATCTGTGGAGCGATCTGTAAGTAAGGAGGCGCCAAATCAACACACAATATACACACTAGGGTCAAGCAAACAATGCCCACGTGAAATGCACCATCAGTCCCCGCTGTGCCGGTCACGTGAAATGAAGTAAAACTGGAAGAAGAGTAAAAACATGGTAAGTTGAAGCAGTGAATGTAATAAGAAGGTATACTTCCTCGTGGTACATTTTGGAATGTAAATAGAAAATTAAAAAGGAGTAAGCATCAACAGATAAGAGCAAGCTAAGATGAGAATGGGAAGGCTTTAAACTGTAGACCAAAAACGTCAAGTGGATGCGCGAGCTCTGTCGCCATTAGCCTCCACTACTTCAGCGGGTAGTGCATTCCGGCGTGAAAACCGGGAATCAGTCCCAGCCCGGTCCGAAGGTGGTTTATGCCACTTCAGTGGATGGCCACGAAGGGTTGACATCCCAGTGGGACGGAACAGACCAGATAAATCATGACCGACCTGACCTGTTATTATACGATAGGTGAAGACCGCGTGACCATGAAATCACTTGTAATCCAAGGCAAACATCTCCAACTTAAGTAACCTCCCAGGGTGCACCAGCTCCGTTACTTGAAGCACCGTTTTCGTCCCCGACAGTAAAACTCGTTCAATTGCCATTTTGTCTCCTACTAGGCAGGGAAAGAAGCCTGTACACAGTATTCTAGGTGTAGCCTAACAAAGGTTGCAAATAATCTTACGAACAGTTCGGTTGTCATGATCCCGAATGATATGCGGATTATCCACAACATGCCAATACCTTTTCGAGCAGCTGCCATTCAATTTTCACCGGACTTAAAATCAAACGCTAACAAGACGTCTAGGTCACCTTGGAGTGACACCCACGGAACTGCATTACCCCCGAATAAATAGTGCCTCTGTGGGTCAAGTGATGCCACTCGCAAAACGGAACATTTGGCGAGATTAATAGGCAGCTACTACAAAAAGGACCAGTTTCATAGTCTAGTTAGAGCCATGTTGTAGGGCCAGTGGACCACTAGGAGCATTTACTGTGGACCATAACTTTAAGTCTTCCGGAAAAATTAGAGATGGCACTCTCAGTTCTTATGGGGGGCCCAGGAACGACCGTTGCGGGACACTGCTGTGAACACACTGATTTGAAGACAAACTGGAGCCCATACGACACACATCCCCCTTCTGGTTAATAAAGCCGAAATCCATTTCAAGTCTGAAACATGTAAAAAAGGCGAGAAGAGTGTGGAACAGTGTCGAAAGCTTTGGATGTCGATGAACAATACCTTCAGGGCTTTTCCTTGAACAACCGCATCGTCCCGAACTTCACGGGCAAGTAACAAGTTGGTAAGACAAGAATAGCCCTTACGAAAACAATGTTGGGAGGGGCTGAGTAACCCAAACGCCCTTAAATAGCTTTCAAGGGCACTTCTTACAAGTTTTTTTCCAGGAGCTTGACCAACAAGCTGATTGGACTAACAGGTTTATAGTTCTCGACAATCTGGATGACTGTGTTGTTGGCCTAATTTCTAGCAGTTGCTGCTCAGGTTGTTGTTCGGGCTGGGTGTCAGAAGAGGGCGGCATCCGTGAATGGGATCTTCTATGTTTAGTATGCTAATAAGAGGTTTCCGCGTAGCCGTTCAGTAACGGAACTCTACGTCATCGAGTGCATGCCCAGGTTGCGGATTGGGAAATGCCTTCCTTGTGGAGGTAAGTGCGCGTAAGTCTCGTTTGCTTTGCAGGCGAGATGAATAGGCGATCGTAAATCAGGGGTAGCGTCTCAAAGCTTGGGCAGATTTATGCCGATCACCTTGATCTCCGTCAAGTACCACAAGAGCTCCTATGGGGCTGTGTCAACGCCAATGTGACCAGTCACTGACTGCGCACTTCGTTAAGTACTCACCTCTGATTACAGAAGTGCGGATAAACAACCTTGTTGGTCACGGGCTTCTCTGTGGACCTACCGAACACTAAGAAGGTATATGAGCCACCTGCCTGGCAACGCTTTTGGTATTCCAATACTGCTTATACGTTCCAGAAAATGTTTTCTGGCCTCTATGCCGCTGTTTGGATGCCTTGTGTAGTTTTTTACTATTCAAAATCGTGTTATCGGCCCCCGACGGGTTGCAATATACCTTAATGGCTCCGCTGCCTAGCAGATCGGTCTGTATGGCTTAAGGCTCCTTCCAATTGAAGCCGCGAAGTCAGCGCCTTTTGAAGGTCTAGACAAACGTGCGGCCCTTTGTCCACATAACAGATTACGATGAATCTCAGTGATTCTATACTTTATCTACGGTCTTTCCATTTAAGTGATTTGAACTGCAGAATTTATCCTGACTAGAGCTTTGCGGATATCGTGCACATCTCTAAAAGTGGTAACCAAACCGATTGCCTGAACTACTGAAAGACTAGCCTCCTATGAGTTGCGTACAAGTTGCCCGCCTCCCAGTTTTTATAGAGACCCAGTCGGGCACGCGAAGAGCAGCTGGGTTTAGCGCAGAATGGAGTTGTATTGATCACACCTTTACGACCCGTCAGATGCTCGAAGACCACCGGGCTTTCAGCCGGCCTAGTATCGTGTACATCCTTGGCATAGGTGCAGCAGTTGACTCGGTTGACAAAGCTGCTCACTAGAGTTGTCTGCTGAAAAGGAACAATAATGGAACAATCAGTATCACCGTTAAAAAATAGTAAGGCTTAGCAACCCCGTGATAAAATGAAATGCGAATCCCTGCTACTCATTAGTAATCAAAGTGAAAAGTGTCCTGGTGGTGTTCGTATTGAGACATGAAAGAACTCATGAGTAAGGGATATTTGATGTAATTAAGTGAGATTCTTCGCAGCATGTGGACGACTATCTGATTTGGAAACTGACTTCGAAGAACCTCACTTAATTACATGAAAGTACTGTTTCGCGTGACAAAGGTATAAGATCAGTGGTTGAAATTTTGGAAACACACCGGTTGGTTGCGTAACATAGCCTCTTGGCTCACACAAGTTGCAAAATGAAAGGCGAGTAGGACAATGCGTCGTCAACTCTGTTTTCTAATCGTTAGATTGGGGGCAGAGGTAACATAATTTAGGAGCGCGTTCCCCGGCTGTCGCACACGAAGTAGGCAATTTCTACCACATTCCAGTAGAATAAACTGCCTTGTCAGTTTCAAAAATGACTTCTTAGGTTGCTGTCGTGGTTCACTTCCAGCAGTTGGTAACAAATGTGGCTTGGGTTCTTCAGAATCTCGTAAACCACTATGAGTTCCCCCCGCAAGTGCTGATGTCGCCTGCTGTACATTTTTAGGAACTTCCATCTAGGCTACTATTGCAGAGCGAAGAGGTTACGCACGTTCTTGATTGCCTTTCGCGGAGGTATATCTAAAGCAGCAAGACTTTGCCTCTTCCTTAAGGCCACGCTTGGATTGCCTGTTCCACATGCGGTAGCAGATATGAGTTAAGAGCTTGTGGGAAGGTTGGCGGTCAAACCGGCTGAACACTGCGAAGAAGGACAAAGAGTTGATTGCCGCTTCTCTACGCCGTTGCTGGTTTCGACCAGCCGAGACCTTCGTGTACCATTAT